TTTGCTGAAAGGTGGATGGCACTAGCTCGACTGGATAGTGTTGACCTCGAGTGGCATCTCGAGCTGTCCGGTTGAAGGACCTGGTCTGGGAAAAACATGCCCGTCCTATCCAGTTATGCTAGTGTAAAAGGTTTTTGTGTCGCTTGTTTTTTTTTGGGGGGTCTCCAAAAATTGATTAAATTACCCTCCTCCTTTTAATATTTTAGTCCCCGACATTTCCAGTTTTCATTCTCTCTCCAGACAGAAGGCGTAGTTCTCTGGAACGAACTATATATTATCCACACACACAAACTGTTTCGCTGTTTCACAGTTCATCAGTGTGGCTAGACATCAGATCTCTTCAAACCGGGATCGAAAACCGACCGATTTGGTATTAGTCGGAGATTTTAGGCTATCGACGACCGGCAGGGAGAAAAGCGAACTTTTTACGTATTTATTTTATCATAGTAATCCAGTTTGGAGAGTCTTGCATTATCAGCAGTAATAGTGACTGTTTACAAATTCGCGCTTTTCTTCCCACAGTGATCAACGGAATTAATTACAAAGGAAATGAGAACGAATCGAATATAAATTCAAAGGTTCATAACATTAATTTAAAAATAGGACTCAATACAAGAGTAGAGAGATAATTCTTATTAAAGGATATTACATTAGACCATGTCTAACCGTTACATGAATGCATTCACGGTGGTAAAGTAATGGTTATTTACCACTTCCGGATGAGATGCAATGGTATGCATCGAAACGTGAATGCATTTATGTAAATAGCGTTACATATGGTCGAATGTAATATCCTTTAAAAAAAAATATATATATATATATATATATATATATATATATATATATATATATATATATATATATATATATATATATATATATATATATATATAGTCATCCACAGAAAGACTGTTTCGCTGTATCACAGCTCATCAGTGTGGCTAGATGTCCCTTGCCTCTAGCTAGGATTGAAACCTGGCTGAATTGGCGTCAGTCGGAGATTCTACCCCTAAGCCATTGGCGCACGGTAGCGATGAAGGTGAATTTAAGCGTATTTATTTTTAGATAAACACACAGTGACTGAGAGAACTCGATTCGCTTTACCGAAGAGTCTTGCATTATTAGCAGTAATAATAACTGTTTACAAACTCACACTTCCTCCCCATAATTTTTTCAGGAGCATATATATATATATATATATATATATATATATATATATATATATATATAAATACTCCAAGCAAGACGATAATGCTATTAAAATTTAAGGGGTTACTGAGAGTGAAAGAGAATGCAAACTGTTGGGGCCACCGACCTTCTCATCAGAATGGACTGATCTCTCTACTACTAATAGGACAGTTCTATAGAGTTCTGGGAGATCAGGTGACCATCACACTTCCGTCTCTCTACCGGAAGATACAGTTGGACTTTATACTCTTTCTGATTGTTACTGAGCAACCTGCGTTCGTTTGACTATTAGTCTCTCTTTTGTAAATACCTCTTCAGATATACCAGTATTTTTCCCTACGTATGTGTTTGTCCTTATTTCAATACACGCACGGGGAAACACTCAACATCTCAACAAAAACATTATTAAGGAGGAAGGCCAATAAAAGAACAAGATTTAAGACAGAAGATGTCGATTGACGTTGTACTGTCCACGCAATTCCTTATTTCCCCAGATTTCTTTCATATACCCAGTCTATGTTTTCCTTAAAGACCACAGTTAATTATACTCTTTCTTGATAAAGACACTAAGATCCAAGTCGTTACTGATAACGAAAGAATCTCAGACCCCCCCCCAAAAAAAGGAGACAATAAAAGTTCAGCTTTTGAGGAAACAGAAGATGACGATTGATGTTGCATTTAATTTTTTGAAGATCGTCGGTGGCGAAAATGAGATGAGAAAAATCTATTAAAATAGTACTTACGATTATATCTAACTATTTCAACAGTAAAACGACGAGACCTAATTGCCAATCTAGTACTACGCTTGAATTCATGCGATCGAGGTACCAAGTAGGAAAGCACATCAGAACAATCATCATGAAAATATTTATAGAAAGCGTAGAGGGAAGCCACGTTATGGCGGTGGGAAAAATGACTGATACCGAGATGCCAGGTCAGGACCAATAATATTACTGGTTCTTTGGATTTTATCAAGAATCTCTCAAAATATAGCAGGGGCACCGGAACAAATATGACAGTAAAATCCAATTCAGTTTTACACTCATTATTACACTAGAGAAAATAACTGACTCCTTCTTCTGTGTTTCATAAGAAAACAATGAAACCTTGTCGCGAATCTATTACTGCGCTTAACTTCATAAAGTCTAGGTACTATAGATGAGAGCTCATCAAAACAATTGCCATAAAAATGTTTATAGAAAAGGCACAGGGAAGCTATGTTACGGAGGTGTGAAAGTGACTGAAGCCAGGTCAGGACCGATAATTTTACGAAATCTTCAGATTTTTAAGAATTTAGAGATATATAACAGGA